CGGCGGGAGAACGTCTCGTCCCCCCAGGCCCGCACCACCGTCCTGACTGGACTCACACCTGGCACCCACTACCAGCTGGATGTGCGGCTCTACCACTGCACCCTCCTAGGCCCTGCCTCATCCCCTGCACGCGTGCTTCTGCCCCCCAGCGGTATGACCAGGACAGGGGCAATGGGTGGGGATGGGAGAGGACATGGGACACAGGGACACATGAGACCCCAGAGGACATGGAGAGCGCACAGGACACACCTAGAGTATCAGGCAGACATGAGCCCAGGGAGGACATAGGACAAGGGGAGAGAGAAGATACCAAGAGCACATGGGTCACCAGGAGCATGTGGGATGGGGGGAGTTTGGGGAGGTCGGGTTCACGTGGAGAACAAGGGTCATAGGGGCTTGGGGAGCACAGCACATAGGGGGGACATAGGGAGGAGCTGGGAGTGAAGGCGGCCTGGGGATGGAAAGGAATTCAGCCTGGAGGGGAAGAAGTGGGTGGCAGGGTGCCTCCCATTCTGGGGTGTCCAGAGCANATTCAGCTGATGTGGCAGCGCCCAGAGGCGCCATCTGGGCCTATATCCAAGTACATCGTGGAGGTGCAGGTGGCTGGGGGCTCAGGAGACCCACTGTGGATGGACGTGGACAGGCCCGAGGAGACAAGCACCATCGTCCGTGGCCTCAATGCCAGCACACGCTACCTCTTCCGTGTGCGGGCCAGCATCCAGGGTCTCGGTGACTGGAGCAACACAGTAGAACAGTCCACCCTGGGCAACGGTGAGAGCAGGGCCCGTGGGACTCCTGGGCCCTGAGGTTGGTCTCAGTGCACTCCCCCTCCATGTCACCCCCTGCCTTAGAGCTAGGGCATCCCAGGCCCCTCCAACAAATGACACAAGCCCTAGGACTCTGACCCTTCCCTTCTCATGATCCATTGTCCTAGGGCTAGGAAAATCATGTTGCTCCCCATGACACCCCTGGTGCCTTCCTTCATGCAGCCCGAGTGACCTCCCTATGTCCATACCTGGATCTCTGACCTCTCCCTCTGTGTGACCCCACGGTGGCCTCTGGGTTCCCAAACCCAGGCATCCCCATGATCTGCCACTCTTGTTGTGCCCAGGGCTGCAGAGCGTGGGCCCAGTCCAAGAGAGTCGGGCGGCTGAAGAGGGCCTGGATCAGCAGCTGATCCTGGCTGTGGTGGGCTCTGCATCTGCCACGTGCCTCACCATCCTGGCCGCCCTCTTAACCCTGGTGTGCATCCGCAGAAGCTGCCTGCATCGGAGACGCACCTTCACCTACCAGTCAGGATCGGTCAGTGTCCGTACCCATCCCAGGGTGCATGTGCGCAGTCCCTTGCGTGTGTATGTTTCTACCCACATACACACAAGTACTTGCATGCTACGTGCATGTATGTGTATTTATGTCGCAGGTATAAGACTACACTCAACAATACTCAAGGGTGCAAAATGTAATTTTCTCTGTTTCTCTAGAACTGAACTCAGCTTGTGAGCCCATTTATATTAGTGGTGAAATATTAACATTCCCAGTTCAGAATAACTCAGTCATGTCTATATTTCACCATGGCCAATTCCAGGTTTGTACTCGGTCAGTTCAGCATTCTCCCCACCCCTTGTCCTTCTCCCTAGGGGTGATCTAAGCCTGGGCAGCACAGTGATATCATGGAGGGGCACCTGGGGTCCGTGCTGGCCTCTGTCCTTGCAGGCCCTCCCGACTTGGGAGCCAGCCTCCATCCACATGCATCTGTGGCTGATGTCCTCGGCCTTACTGTCGCCTCCTGCCAACGGGCCACTCATGCTGTGAGCTCCTCATCCCAACCTTTATCTTTGCCAATCCTAGAGCCTCCTCTGGGGTGCTTCCCTTTACCCTGCAGGGGGCAATGACCCCTCCTACAGCTGTGTCCACCACTCTAGAATTGTGCTAGGGCTGCGGCCTCACTAGCGCCTTTTGAGAATTGAAGCCGAACTACCACTCTTCCTGGCTTCCTGTAAACCCGACTAGGTTTTCTGTCCTCCTGGAGTCCACGCCCCAAGAGCCTCCTCTGGGGTGCTTCCCTTTACCCTGCAGGGGGCAATGACCCCTCCTACAGCTGTTTCCACCACTCTAGAATTGTGCTAGGGCTGCGGCCTCACTAGCGCCTTTTGAGAACTGAAGCCGAACTACCACTCTTCCTGGCTTCCTGTAAACCTGACTAGGTTTTCTGTCCTCCTGGAGTTCACGCCCCTCCAACCCTCAGGCCAGTTCTCAGAGGGGAGGTGGCAGAGGGGTGTGACTCTTCTTCAGGGACCCAGTATCACCCCATCTTGTCACATCCCACCTCGTTTTCCCACCCTTGATCCTGTCTCCTCTGATATCTCCCCCACTGTTGTCACTTACCATCTGAACTCTGCCCTTGGCCCTCTAGGCCCTTGATATTTAAAGCCAAGCTTTGGCATTTCAAAACAAACAAAAAAACCCCTCTTCTCTCGAGGGCTGACCCTTGTAATAGAAAGCCTAGTGTCCAAGGCTAGTGTCTCTGCTTTGCCTTTAAAAAAAAAAAAAACCCATTCAGAGATTCAACTGGCTGCTTTGTTCCTGGCTGTGTTGGCTCTCCCTCTGAGGTCAGTGCACACAGAAAGCCGTCACTGCTGGGGTGGGGGAGGGTAGGAGGACAAGTGTTGAGGCAAGGAGGTGAGAAAGCAGTCTTTGACATACATATTATCAAGATGTATCCCTGCCACACATGCCTGCTACAGACATGCGTGCACACGAATGTGTGTGCCATGTAAGCGTGCACGTGTGCTTCCCCATGTGACCATGTCCTCAGCCCTTGCCCATCAAGCTGGCCTTCAGGTCACTTAGGGATCCCCACCACAAGGTCTGTCTTCCAGTTCTCATACTGGCAGCTCCCTTGGTCCTGTTCAGCTCTTTCCTTTCCCTGACATCAACCCTGCCCAGGTGGCCCACCTCCCACTCAGGTGAGGGAACTGGACGCTCCTCTTTGTTAGGTTCCAGGCCTGGTTTTAGAGGATAGATGCCAAGTGGGTGGACAGGGGTAATCTCTGCTTCTGCTGCTGTGGGGAAGAAAACCCCTCCACTGGCTCCCAGCAGCTCAGTGCTTAGCATGTAGTGGGTGCTCAATAAATATAGTGTCACCTGCTGCTCAAGGCTGGAATGCTCTCCAGAGCAACCCTAGTAACAAAAAAGCCTAGTTGTGGAATTAGCAGAATAATGGCAAGCTCACTACTTCCCATCCCAGCTCATTCCAATACTTTTCTGTTTTAAACATTAGAAAGATCATCTTTCCATTGACTCACATTATGGCTTCTAGCAACTTTGTCCACAGCCTTCGTTCTGCCCTCCAGAACCCCATACACCAGATCCCCAGGCTGTGGCCTCTGCATTTCTCCCCTTGGACATCTGTCTGCCCAACGACCCTGTGGCTCTATCACCTATGATTTTGTCTCAGTATATGCCCTCTGTATGTCTGTCTCTGGCTGACCACGAGGGTGCCTTCTGTGTGGGTCTGTTTGTCTAACCACTGGAACCTCTCTTGGTGTGCCGGTCTGTGCCTCCTCCTGCCCCCCTGTGGACTGTCTGCCCCTTGTTCCATCCTGTGAAGGGCGAGGAGACCATCCTACAGTTCAGCTCAGGGACCTTGACGCTGACCAGGAGGCCAAAACCACAGCCCGAGCCCCTGAGTTACCCAGTGCTGGAGTGGGAGGACATCACCTTTGAAGACCTTATCGGGGAGGGCAACTTCGGCCAGGTCATCCGGGCCATGATCAAGAAAGATGGGCTCAAGATGAATGCAGCCATCAAGATGCTGAAAGGTCCCCTGGAAGTGACCCCTGGCCCCAGCCCAGACCCTCTCCTTTGTCCCACAGATCCCAGGCCCCACCTGGCTCCCTCCAGCCACTGACCCCAGCCCTCACCAGCCCACATCCTTTCCCCAGAGTTATTTCTGGCAAAAGTGATATTGGATTCTTTACACAGAGTATGCCTCTGAAAATGACCATCGTGACTTTGCGGGAGAACTGGAAGTTCTGTGCAAATTGGGACATCACCCCAACATCATCAACCTCCTGGGGGCCTGTGAGAACCGAGGTGAGCCCCCAACTCAACACATCCCCATTCTTCCAGCCCCCATCATCAGTATGTATACTGTCATAACATATGTCAGTGTATATTATCGCCTCCACTGCATCGGTGGCTTGCTGGGAGCTGCGGGCTGCCTCTGCTTCACTCTTGGGTCTTCTTCATGCTTCAGGTTCTCCGTCGATTACCACTGGGTACCTGCTCCCACCCCAGGGTGCCTGTGTCTAAATCACCACTTGCATGTCCTCACTTCCCAGGTTACTTGTATATCGCTATTGAATATGCCCCCTATGGGAACCTGCTAGATTTTCTGCGGAAGAGCAGGGTCCTGGAGACTGACCCAGCTTTTGCCCGAGAGCATGGAACGGCCTCCACCCTCAGCTCCCGGCAGCTGCTGCGTTTTGCCAGTGACGCCGCCAATGGCATGCAGTACCTGAGTGAGAAGCAGGTGTGTGAGTGGGCGTGGGGGGTAGAGGGAAGAGGGAAGGCCACTGGCCAACCCCAGGAGATAAAGTCAGCAGGCTCTAGTTGGATGTGGGGACTGAGGAGTAGCAAGAAGGAAAGACGTGACCTGGGGTCCTGCTCAGGTGAGTGGGTGAGAGCGAGGGTGACAGGGCAGAGCTGAAGGTGAGAGGCAGGCGGGAGGGGGCATTGCCCTGGAAGTCTCGGGGGCTCCCTGGTGGAGGTGTTGGGCGAGCACTTGTATATGCCAGCCTGGAACACAAGAGAGAGGCCTGGCCAGAGATGACAGTCTGGCACAGACGGTGGCTCTGGTGGTGAGGGAGTGACTGAGATCCCGCAGAGAGGCCAAGTCTGAGCCCAAGTGTGAGAACACCCTCCCCGAATGAGAGGAGAGACAGGACAACTGCTGGAGGGGACAGGAGGCTGAGGGAAGGCATTTTAAAGATAGTAGAGTTTTGAGCATCTGTGAATGCAGAGGGGGAGGGGGCCGTGCGGAGGGAGGGAGCTCTCTGAGGACGGTGGAGGGACGGTCACCTGGGGACCTGCACCATGAGGGAGGAGCAGAAAGTGAGGGGAAAGGGGTAGGGAGCATGGAAAGGGGGGAAGGTGCAAGGTGGCCACCACTGTCCCAGGAAGAGGGCTGCAGCCTGACATTGGCCATGGCCAGTCACAGGAAGTGGGGACAAGAGCCAGCACTGATGTTTCCCAGGCAGGCATCAAGGGTGCTGGTCAAGACTGCTGGCGGGGCCAGATGCCTTGCTGGCCCAGCTGTCCCAGCCTCCCTCAACCCTCAGTCTCCCCTCACTTCTGACCTTGCCTGCAGTTCATCCACAGGGACCTGGCTGCCCGAAACGTGCTGGTCGGAGAGAACCTGGCCTCCAAGATCGCAGACTTTGGGCTTTCTCGGGGGGAGGAGGTTTATGTGAAGAAGACGATGGTAAGTCTCACTCAACACCTCCACAGGGCCCGTGCTTGGCCCTGACCCCCAGAGCCCCCAAACAGGCCCTTCCTCCACAACCAACTCCTCAAACTCGTTCTCTCCCAGGGGCGTCTCCCAGTGCGCTGGATGGCCATCGAGTCTCTGAACTACAGTGTCTATACCACCAAGAGTGACGTGTGAGTGTGGGGCTGGGACGGGGTGAGGGGCTTGGTCCTCAAGGATCATGCTGGCAGAACCTAGACACATCTCAGAAATATCTCAGGTAGTCAAAGGCATGACTTGGGCATCCCTCGGTGTTTCCCAGGTGAGACACAGATGTGTCTTCAGTATAATGTGGTGGTGCCCAACATCTTGTGGGAAGGTGGGGAGCCATTTGGAAGGAAGTTTTGTCTTGGAAGGTGTTTCAGGGGTAGCACTGGGGTGGGGGGAAGTTTAGGGTTGTGTTTGTGTGAGATGCTTCAGAGAGGTTTGGGAATGCTGGTGGATAATTCCCGGGGTAGATGGAGAGACCATTCAAGGCATGCTCTCACCTTCCTCACTGAAGGGCAGGGCCATGTCCACCTGAGAGTCTCACCAGAGCATGGCCCCCAAGACTCCCGCTCTCTGCTCCCACCCAGATGGCATCTCAGCAGACTCCTCCCCTCTCTCCAGGGATTTCCACCTCATTCTAAGCCTGACCTGCCCAACTTTTCAGGCCGGACTCCTGAGCTGCTCTGCCCTTTGCCCCAAGTCCTTTGGCCTGGCCTGTTTGGCCCACTGTCCACCACACTGATCACCCCTCTGACCACCACACACCTACTTCCTGCTTCTTCCCCAACACTCCCCAGATTCCCTCCCCCCAGTAGAATTCCCTCCCCTAGTTTTGGGCTTGAGGGGCACCCGTATGG